ATACATATACCAGAGCAAGATAAAATGGCATATGTAAGATGAGAAAGACAGAAATGGGACAAAGGAAAACTGAATGTAAGAAAGATAAGCTATCCTGGGAGTAAAATTCGGGTCCCTAATTAATGTTCTCTGTAAAATTCTGCACATTTGCTAGTGGTAGGCCAGAGTTTTGGTTCTAACACTTCTAGCAGCCAACATTTGTTGGCTAAACACAAAATGATCCAATCAGTTACATGATTCAGCATCCTTAAGATACAAACAAAAAGCTATTAGAGAACCATCTCTCCCTTGGTTCTCATAAAGAGAATGTATAACCGAACAAGAAAGTCCTGAACAATATCCTTGCATTTGATTTGTCAGAGAGCTTTGGAAGACCATCCCTCATGACAACCTTGACAGGCAAATGAGAGCACACAAGTCAATGCATGCAAATGGCAGAGAGGAAGGTGCCCATGCCAAGGGGTCCCAGCACACAGCTCCCTGCAGGTCTAAGTTTATCAGAAACAGATTTTATTCTATCTCAATGAACCTAAAATCCAGAGGCATCCACTTATCTTTGAAATTATAAACAAAATTTGATGCACATGACCCTTTTTCCGGAGGATACATCTGTAGTTTCACCACATCCTCAAAGAGAAGCATGACTCAAGAAACGTTAAGAACCACTGATCTAAAGAACTAGACTATACAGATCCTTCAGGCAACCCTTCGTAAGCAGTTTCTCTTCTGAGCTTCTGAGAAGTGCTGTGCCTCTAGACTGAAGGCATCTGAAGTACAGCTTCTCTCTGATGCGAAGTATGGAACTCTAAGCTTAACCACTGGCCACATTGTTTCTCAGCTGTGTAATGCAATAATACATGAGCTTTTATAGAGTAACGCCTGTAAACATATGGAATACATAACAGTCTGCTCTTTTAGATAGGTTGCAGCCATGAACAGTAACAATGTTGCTTCAAAGAATTGGTGATACTTCTTTAAATAATATACAACGTAAAAACAAAACAAAAACCCACCTTTGCCTGTGGATAAAAAATACAGGTAAGCATAAAAATTTTTCATAGATAAATATATGTTTTAATTTTTAAAATTTAAATGTTCCACATCAGTTGATACAATCCAAGCTTTTCTTTTGGCCTCTTTGTTGTTTTAATCTTTTGTTATACAGCAAAACAAGCACTGCCATAGCTTTATACACGCACACACGCACGCACGCACGCACAGAGTTAACCATCTACCCACAGTACTGGGGTTAGAATGTCTCAAGATCCCAAGGGCATCAGATGAGAAAGCTGGCCTTCAGGCCATCAAGAGAAGGCTTTTTAAGCTCTCATCCATCTAGAAGTCAATGCCATCCAGAGTCTGGTCTTTGAAATAACAAGGCCAGAGATGTCTTTGTCAAAAACGCAGTTAAACAGACTCAAGAGAACTAACTCATGTGAACCCAACTCATAAGAGGTTGAAGTACAAATCAGAACGCCAATTTATTCATTAATCATAGTGAATATTCTTTTTCACGAATGAGAAAATTTGCACCTGAAGCCCGGGTGCTGCTTTCCCAATGCTAAGATATCTGGAATCCTGATTAAATAGTCAGTTCACCAGAAGTTAGAATATAGGGAGACAGAGTTTGGGGGCTAGCTAATGAATTATATATATCCAACATATACCTTTCTAGTGATCGACATTATGGCTTTCACATGTATAGCCTCTTCTCACTTGGAATGTTGTTGCCCTAATACTGCAGACTTACTGGTGTCTAAGCTTCCTTCTTCCATATCCTTCTCTCCATTGGTGTTCCTCTAGATAGGGTATAATGCAATTGATAAGGGTACAGCTTATGTGCACTATCATTCTTTTTCAGATTAAAAACTCCCAGATAAAGTTGCTGAAACAACTTGTCCACGGTCACAGCTAATATAAGGCTGAGCAGAGATTCAAAGCTAGATGTCAAGCCAAAGCCTGGGCTTTTAACCTTGCAGTAAATGATGCCTTATATCTTACCTGGACCTCCCACCTCCAAGCCTGATTTAAATGCCCCTCCTCGGTGTTTCCATATCACCCTAAGCATAGCATGACTGTAGTTTTTGGCATACAGGTCTATCTCTGGCACTACACTGAAACGTTCTGAGGATGAAAGTCAGGTTTCATTCACCTACTTAGTATCCCAAGTGTGCTATCTGCCTTTCTGGGTAAATATACAAACTAATTTGTGCGGTGGTTCAATATAAAAATCACCAAACTGAATGCCTTAAACTAGCCATGTGGCCTTAGGAAGATCACAACTTCTCCAGCCATCTACAAATATCTCATCTAAAAATGGAATGAAATGGACACACAAGTTGGCTTAGGTCCCTTCTGAATCTAAAAAGTACTACCATTGGAGATGGGCCCTGGTTTTCTTTATAGACTATCTTATTAGTTCAAATTATTAGAAGTAAAATTAAACTCCCCAGTTGTCTTCTGTAGCACCCCACAGACAGGAAACACACAAATAATAGAGTTCAGAAAAAACTACCTCTTTTCTGCAAGAAGATAACTATTGTCTATTCCAAAATCAAACAGTGGCACCCCCCTCTGGCGAATGTTAAAGGAGCTAAACAACACAAAAGACAACATTTACATGATGGGATTTTCTTTGAATGAAAGAAAATGCAAAAGAGAAATTATCTATTATTTAAATTATAAATAGCTCCTTTTTATAACTCCTTATTTTGCCCCAAAACAATGCCAAAATGATGAACTGGCCACATACAGTGGGAGATTACAGATAAAACAATCTTTTTAAGAGGGTTGATAATATTATTTTACAAACAGCAGGCTTTTTAATGTAAGGCACAATAGAAAGCATTTCATAGTTTTGCTAACAATAACCATCTCTATTATTTCAAAATTTAATGAAAAGCCCTGTGCATGTAAAATACTGCTGGCTAAATAAAAGCATTTATCAAGACACACACAGAGGGAAGACAAAGTAAAGAGACACAGGGAGAAGACTGTCATCTACAAGCCAAAATTAAAATTAAAAAATAATTAAATAATTAAAAGCATTTGTCCAATCATTTTTCTGGATGGTACATTTACTAGAAGACAGTACTGGAAATTTTTCAACCTAAAATCTGTTTGGGTCTGCAAGTTTCAGGTTTTAAAATATCAACTTAAATGCAAATTTACACATGCAGAATAAAACATGACAATACAGCACACCAGACAAGCATAAGCCAAACTTTCACAACATTAACATCACATCCAGACCTCTAAGTCAAAAACAAAGCTGTGCTTTCTAAGATCAGGAGCAGAATATCATCTGCCAACAACTTTAACATTAAAATTTATAATAAATATAAGCTTTATAAATGAGTTATAAAGTGTAGAACATAAAATGAAGATACGAGCACTCTGATTCATAGCAAGAAAACAAATCAGTCATTTTACTGGCAACGATGTCATTCAGGTACGTTTTTACCCAAGTACATAGCATCTCTTCCCTCAATTAACTTCACATCTTTCACCTACCCTGTGACCAAGGGAAAAGGAACCCACACTACAGAGGAAGTTACAAATTTACAACCAGTGAGAAACCTTCACTTTGAAAGGCAGAACATAGAAAGGGTTAGAGTGAATGGGAAACAGCAAAAACTGATTTCAGTTCTACCAAATAGATTTTCCAACTAAGTTTGTCATTCCTGGCAAAGTTGGTTCTACAGGGCAGGTAGATACAGTATCTTGAAAAGATCAGCAGAGGAGTAGGTGAAGCGGCTTTGTATCAAAGAAAGAAGGCAAATAACTATTTGAAAGCTTTCTCAATATTCACCCAAAACAAATGCCAAAAAACAAGCAAAAATGAAAAAGAATGACAACCCCTACAGCCCACGCAGAGACCAGAAGGGCCAAGAAGAGAGTTGGGGGAAAGTTGGATGGGAGCATGGATTGTGAGGACAGGGGGAATGATGGAGGGATGGCGGAGGAGGCAGGGAAGATGTAAGACATTATGCTGCCAAAAAAAAAAAAGTATGCAACAATGCAATTCTGTTATAAACTGCCAAATTGAGAAAGATGGGGTAGCTGGCCCGATGCTCTTTGGAGCCACATTTGCCACTCACTTCTCCTGGGCCGATGCCCAAGGACCAAAGCCAATCCTCCCCGGACCTCCAGGAAATCTGAGCCCCAGCGCGCAATCAGGGTGCCGCAGAAATGAGGGAGATGGACCTCAACTGGCCCTCTAACCTCATCACGTGAACCCCAAAAGACAGATTTTAGAAGCCGGGAAACCTCTGCACCCCACTCCGGCCAGGGCGCAGGGGGAGATCTGGGAATCACAGCCTCTGCGGGCATCGCCACCTCTGCAAAGGCCAGAGGCATCTCAGGTCCCGCGAGGCGATCCTGCTAAATGCAGGCGGCCAGAGAGGCGCTGCTGTCAACTGGCCCGATTGAGCTTGTAAAGTTAATGGAGTTGGCAAGAAGCGCGGGGCTGGTCCCCCAGATTCCTCCTTAGGGCGAAGGCGATGGGAAGGAGTCACAGCTTCCTTCATCCTCACTGTGCTCTCTCTCACTAACTCGGTTCTGCATTTTGTATCTCTTTTCCCTAATGAGAATCAAAGATATTTTTTGCCTTCTTTGTGCCTACCTCGGTCTCAAACCCTAGAACAGGAGCGCTGAGGTCCCGGGCCAAAGTTCAGTGTAGAAACCATTAACTCTCCCCGCAAAAGTAGCACAGTCATTTGCTGGGTTCAGGCCTTGAGAAACATCGTAAATGATGAAGCACGAAATAAGCTGTGGATGATCCTCCCTTCCCCAAAACGGACCCTCAGTCCCAAGAAGTCTGGATCCAGCAGTGTTTTTAGCGGGGCGGGCAACTTGGAACTAGTGCGTTTGCCCAGCCCCGCACCAGGTCAACACCACGCCCCTCGCACTCAAGTCCTACCACCTCCACCCCCCCACCCCGCCCCCGACACAAACGTCCTGTCGGCACACAAAGACGCACACACACACACAACTCCTACCTCGCCTCCGTGTCCGTCGAAGATACCGAAGATGGACGGGTGCGTCTTGTTGGCTAGGTCCGTAAGAACTTCGAATCGGTCCTCCATGTGGTCTCTGCGGCCCTGGATGGAATACACGGCCACGTTGTGGCTCTTGAACTCCCAGGTCTTGGAAAACTCGGCCTCCAGGACGTCGAGGCCCCCGAGCCGATCATTCTGCATGATCTCGGCGACCTTGCCCTTCACCATCTTCACAGCGTCCCGGCTAGACTTGACGATGGTCTTCACCTCGTCGGTGTGGAAGAAGTAACTCCACAGCGCCAAGCTGATACACAACAGGAAGAGCGTCTCGGGTCTCAGCAAGAAGTAGCGCATGATGCGACCCAGCAGAGACAGCAAAGTCATTGTATCCTCTATCATTTATTATCGCTAGAGCCCCAACCACCAGCAGCTACGCGCGCCCCGAAGGCTTCTCGGGTCCCGGAGCACTGCGGGGACAGTCCGCGGGAAGGGAGGCGGAGCAGCAGCTGAGGGTGGGGGAAGGAGGATCGCTGAGCGGGCGGGAGACGGTTGAGCACGCTGCTCCGATCCGGCACGACGAACAGAGGCAGTTTTCCTTTTGTCTCCCGGCCTCCGCGACCCCGAGGCCCGCGCCCTGCACACCGGTGCCTGTGCCCGCCACCCGCGCCGCCTCCCCTCCCTCGCGCCCCTTTGTGAGGCGGCGGCGGCCGAGACCGCGGCGGTGGCAGCAGCAGCCGCTGGTGACCGGGCTGGGCGAGAGGAATCAAGTTAAAGTTGTGCCGGGCAGGTCTGCCACGGTGGGCAGGAGAGTTCGGGGACGCTGGAGCCCGCGCGGCCCCTTCGTGGGTGCCCCCTCTCTGCTCCGGGGTGCGATCGCCAGGTGAGGAGGCGCGGGGCTCGAGAGCTCCGCGGGATGCAGGTCCCCGCGGTCGCCGCCGCAGCAGGGGAGCGTAGAGCCGGCTGAGTGCTCCGATTCCTTCAGACACCCCGGGGGGGGGCCCAAGAGAATAAAGTTTTGCGGGAGCCTGAACAGAGGCGGAGGTACTCTGAGCCCAGCGACGCAGCTGGAATGGCTCTGAGCCGCAGGCAGCCGGCCCGGCTCTGCCTGTCTCTCCCCAAGCACCTCCCTGCTCCGCTCGGCTCCGCTCGGCTCCGCTCGCGCGCTCACTCTAAGCCACCCAGCTCAATCTCGCCCCGCCCCGCACGCGCTCGCCCCGCCCCGGGACTCGGGGCTGCTTGGTGCCGGCCAAGCTGTCAAAGGCTGGGGACACTCAGTGGCGGCTGGCGGGCTTGCAACCCAGGGCGGTCCAGGCGAACGGAGGGGGAAGAAAAGGGGCGCGTCCGTTGCCTAGCTAGAGTGGGTGGCTGTTCCTCCCTCCAGTGCGGGGTCCCAGAACAATGTAATACTGATCCTGGTTGAGTGAACGTTGGTTTCCCGGGAGCCACTGCTGCAGGCTGGAAAGCAGAGAGCCGCACGTGAGCGTCCCCCCTCCGGCAGACGGCACAATAGTGCGGTCCTCACCTCGCCCGGCATAAGGCAAGCGAGAAGGGACCCACTTCTCCCGGCTCGCAAAGCGGGGCTGAGAGTGTCGGACCTTTGGTGGTGTGTGACTGAGGCCTGCCCGTATCCCCCGAGAAACGGAGAGGATCCCGCAGCCTTCTCCACACGAGAAAAGACCCTCCCGAGAACGCAGGAGGTGAAGACTCGGAGTCTGGCTAGGAAATGCGTCCCGACGATAATCGTGGGAGCAGCGAGAGTACGCTGGCCTCTCCCGGAGCCGCCGGCGTCCCGAGGCCGGGAGACTTAGCTGCCCAGGCCTTCCTAATCACAACCCTTCCACGGAGAGACACCTAGTAAAGTCCCGGGACGCCAATGGCCCTGCCACGGGGCGAGGGCTCTGACTCTGCTGTTCGGGTTTGAAGGTCCCTTTGAAGCTCTGAACTAGCGGCCTCCTACCACTTCCTCAGTCTTCGCAGAAGGTGAAGCGGGAGCGGGAGTCTCAATAAGCAGAAGTGAACGGCCGCAGAGAACGGAAGCCATCAGGATAACTTGTTGAAATATGGGCGAGTGTCAGTGGCCTCGAAGATGTTGGGGAAAGAAGAGAACAATGTGCAAATCAGCTTAGAATCCGAAAACAAGTGAGCTTTAAAGCTCACTCTAAAGATTCACTCTCATCACCCCTGTCCAGAAAGAAGAGTGCTGATTTGCGGCTTCCCGTCCACTAGACTGGCGAGTACAGGCTGCCCAAGCACGCCTGCCTTGGTGTGATTCCGACTACGTTTTAAAAACGTAGTTTTTCCTTTCAGTAAAGGAAATACACCAGAATGTTCGTGATAACTAACTACAGTAGTAAATTATATGTGGTTTTCATTTTCTGCTTTGGGCTTTTGTCTATTTTCTACAACCTTTTCAAAGTTTTTACAAAAGACATAGATTGCAATCATAATCAGAAAAAAAACACTGACATTTAAATGGCATATACAATATGATCTCAATTACATCAACATGCATAGAAAAACAGGAAGAAAATATGAAGAACTGTTAACAAAAGTATGCTACTTTTGACAACAAAGACAGGTCTGCTTTGCACTTTTCGGTATTTTGCACCTGATAAATAGAGAAACAGTTTAGAAGTAAATTAGGTCGTTCTTTCCAAAACTCATAAGCCATGACGTTCAAAAATTAGATATTGGGCTCAAAAGCCTTTAGGAATTATAAAGCAAACATAATGCATTAGTGTTATTATGAAGGTGAGTTTACAATATTTCTTACTATAATTTAGCAAATGGCTTTTGGGTGTATTGTCAGCCTCTCTGAATGTGAGTTTTTTTGTCTGTGGCAAAAACAACTTGCAGATAGCCTGATCGAGATTCCAGAACTATAAGTCCAACTAGGCCCTGGAACAGACGTGTAATGCCAAACCTAGAGACCAAGTCAGCCTGTCCACAATATTATTGTGTTGCTGATAGCAGCAGCTACTCATGAGAGGCATGATTTCCATTTCAAAAAAACCTATATAAAAAAGAGAAAAGAGCTTACTGGTCTCTGGAGATTAAATACCAAAAGGAGGGTTTGACTTGGTTAATAAATCTAGATATCCTAAGGATTCTGTGGAGACATTCTTTGATATTTACATCTAAGTAGTTCATTTGTATGAAAATCAATAGAATGATTTTCTAGCAGAACCTGCAGGCATTTTCTTATTTCCATTACGAAGTTCATGTAGTTTACATAGTAATTTTAATGACCTAAATAAGTTTTTGTATAGTTTACAGTGAATTTTAATATATTTGAGAAATAAAAAAGACCTTACCCTAATGACAAACTAACATTTGCATATTCCTTGATATTATAAAGGCTTTTCATGTATATAAAATTATTTCCATTCTCATGATAAGCCTATGAGGAGCATAAAGGAGCTATTGTCTGTTTATAAATATGAGGACATTAAGGCACAAAGATGTTAAATGAATATCACAATTCAGCAAATAAGTTGGGAACTCAAGCTCAGTTCTGACCACCAATTCAGTATTCTAACATCCATCCATTGATTGCTAGCTGATACTGAGATGATCATTTTTTATACTTCTCTAGTACTAACTTTTCAGTAGATTTCTGTTATAGAAATCTCAAAAAGGAATACAAGAGATTCTTATTCCACAATTCCGACTTTAGCCTTCAGGACAAGCACTATGTGTATTTATCTCACCCATTGAGAATATTTGTGATGCAGAAGACAAGTGCAAGTTAACTGTCCTTCATCTCTACATAAAAGCCTAAAAGATTTGTTGCTAAAGTAAAACAGTATCTGAATTTCACAAGGAAGAAAAGAGTACTGTAGAATGTACATTATGTAAATACTTTACCATTACAAGTGATGTAGTAATGAACATAGAGCTAATTGCAATCCTAGGTTTTCATGAGATACAATAATAGTTACCGGGTAATTAACCATTTTCAATTATGCAATTAACTCACACCAGCCTTGCAGTATATAAAGAACATAAAATATAGCATTTAGAAACCTCAGAAGAAACTTTCAGAATTGTAGCTTTTAGGTTTAAGAAATCTTTAAACAGTTTGATAACAAATCTATTTCCAAGTATAATGTTTTCCCATGATGTTGTCGTTTCTTTTTTGGTTTTTCCACTTTTTATAAAGTTGTAAAAATCAAATGTAAAGTGACTTATCAGCTGCAACTCTTGATGAATGTAATAAAAATCCCCTGAAATAAATTTTAATTAAGACTTTTACACATATAGAAATTCTCTGCACATTTTTTAATTTCCCAATTATCAGTTTAATTTATATTCTTAAATAATTCCTGCCATCTGCATATACATATGTACGGAGTATTGAGTGTGACTCTTTTACAAATATTCCATATATATCTATACACCTTGTATGTGTGTATCCTTTAAAACTATAGCATAAAAGACTGTATCAAAGTATTTTTAGGAAGCACGACAACCCTAAGTACTACACTCATGAACCCGCTACCCAACCTAAAAACTGGGCTGTGACCAATCTTTGTACCAGCCTAGGAATTCTTCTGCCATCCCACCTCCCTGCCTATACTGTATAGGTAGCTCTATCCTGAATTCTATGTTCTACCTTTCTCTTGCCTGAAAAAGTACTATCATCATGTGTGTACATCATTAGGTTTTTGGTTGTCAAAAAAGTTCATTTGTTGTTTTTTTTTTTCTGTAAGATGGCTGTAGTAGCACTTAGTTGTCTTTAACTTTATTTGAAACAATTTTGTTAGATTGTATTGTGATGGCTGTCATATCAGCATGCATTTTTTTAAAAAAAACATCAAAATTGGTGAATTTTTGTATATCATGTTAACATTGAAGACAGAAGAAAATACACAACATTTTCAGCATATTATGCTTTATTATTTCAAGAAAGGTAAACACCCAACTGGGATGTAAAAAAAAAGATTTGTGCAGTGTACGGAGACGACGATGTAACTGATCAAACATGAACATGTCAAAAGTGGTTTGGGAAGTTTCGTGCGGGAGATTTCTTGCTGGACAATGCTCCAAGGTCAAACAGACCAGTTGAAGTTAATAGCAATAAAATCAAGACATTAATTGAGAACAATCAATGTTACACCATGCAGAAGATAGCCAACATAATCAAAATATCCAAATCAATAAAGTTATTGGCAAAAATGAAAACTATGTCTTTTATTTTAGGGGAAAAAAACTAAATGGACTTTTTTGACCAACCCAATATTTTTTTGTTTTGCTTGGTTGTGAGCTTTATAAAAAGGATGTCTTATTGCACATAGTTCCCTGCTACTTGTTTTTTCACTCAATATTACAATAAGTGAAATATTTCTAGATCCTTCCATATTGTTACATATAATTCAATCCTTTTCACTGCTATATAATATTCCACT